CTGGTGTGGTTTAAGAGCATGTTTGTTTTTTTTCATAACTGTACCTGGAGGTAAGGCTGGTACTGGGTGGTGTGGACCACAAGTATGGAGCTGATTGTGATTTTTCAGAGAAGGCCATGTGTGTGATCTGGTCATGGGTAAAGAGGGACGGCCTGGTCCATGGATGATGGATCAACGTGTCTTCTCTGTTTTATCAAAGGATGCTCATGTTAGGTAAGTGTGAAGACTCATCAGGTCTGAGTCATGTGGGGTGGATGGTTTATTGACTTAGGATCTGATGGGCATCATCTAGTACATGAGAGGGACTTGCTACAATATCCAACAAGCGTGAGGAGAATGGGTGATGTATCAGTTGAGAGGAGTTAGATGCATTGCCATTGCTGTTGAAGATTTACAAAGGTTACTTGGTCAGTGGGGATTATTTGTTGAATGACTAAGTACCCAAGGGGAAATGTTTATGCAGATATAAGAGAGTGGACGAGTTGGCAGGGAGCTGGGCGCAGCTATCCTGTAGCTCGATCAGCTGGAAGAGAGTGATGGAACCTCAAGTGAGGTGGTACAGCTTAGCTAGCTGGATGAGCTAGCTAAACAAGCTGAGGCAGCTGGGCTTAGTTCGAATTCAGCTAGCTTATAAGTGTCAGCTCAAAGAGCTGGATGAGCTAGCTAAGTCAGCTAGGAGTATGAGCTAGCTAAGTCAGCTAGGAGGATGAGCTAACTAAGTCAGCTGAACCGATGATCTAACAAGCTGGATGTGGCAAAGGTATGATCTACCTACTTTCTTTTAGATCTAGCTAGAATGGTTTAGGGGAATGGAACCTTGGACTTGTATGACTTGTACCATGTAAGGATCGATCTATAAGTTGGAAGGTAGTTCAGTGAATTGACCAAGGCATAAATGATTAGATTGAACAAGTGTTATATTTCTTTTAGACCAATGTTTAATATAGTATAATCCTCTGCGTATGAATAGAAAGGATCTAAGCTATGAAGTACTAAGGTAGTGTTATACTAAGATCTAAGTTGGCCCTCGCCTAGGAAAATATTATAAATAAAGGGAGAAAAATTTAGAGGTTCGGTCCGGAAGAGGACTGAGCGACGTGAGGCTTTGACCACGGCCTAGACGGCCGGGTTTGGGTCTTACAAATATATATATTTTGAAAATATGAGTTTTACATATCTTGAAGTTACTTAACACTCTTAAAAATACAAGTTATTCAAAAACTAGCATAGAAGACTTAAAAACTAGCATAGAAAACTTCCACGAAAGTATTCTCGGATCAGCTAGAAACTTTAATTAACATGAATGTTGGTAACCTCATAAATATCCCCAATTAAGTTATATATTCCATTTAGTAGCTCTAATATTGACTAATATACATGAATTAACAAAACAAATAATTAAAAAGTCTTTATAAGTTTAGAGAAAATGAAAGTTTAAGTCAAACATAGAAATATTAAACAAATTTTTGTTTAAAGACGACATACATGTAAGTCATCCAAGATAAGCAAGGTTTGACCAGAATCTCAAAATAAAATCATGGATGACTTACATGTAAGTCGTCGAACGGACGACTCTCGTGTAAGTCGTCGAGCGGACGACTCTCGTGTAAGTCGTCGAGCGGACGACTCTCGTGTAAGTCGTCGAACGGACGACTCTCGTGTAAGTCGTCTAGTAAACAATTTTTTTTTGTTTAATATTTCAATTCCAAACTAACCTGCGACTTACATGTAAGTCGTCTGAAAAAAAAAACAAAAAATCACAATTTTTTTAATTTTCTATTGGGCGACTTACACGGTCAAATTTCTGACACATTACGGTCAAATGCAAAACTAACCCGTTTTCCCTAGACAAATTACATGTAAGTCGTCTCAAGTTTTTTTTGTTATCAAAAAGGTGGACAACTTATATGTAAGTCATTTAGTGAAAAAAAAATAAAAGTCAGTTGTAAAACTAACCTCTATATTGATCAGAAGACTTCCAGGTAAGTCGTCTAGCTATAGACGACTTACATGGAAGTCTTCTGGACGAACAGATCTGGAAAAAATCTCTATTTCATAGTTTCAACAAGTGAGATAACTTGTTTAGCACATATAAGTCTTTTCTAAGCAACCATAATCGCAAACAATAGTAACCCACCAAATATCGTAAGCTTCAATGGCTTTATGTACTATAAAAACTTTAAAATCAAACACTTGGGGTTTTTTAGATGAATATGGAGAGAAAGTGAAAGAGATGTTGTTTTTAGATCGATTTGAAGTGCATTATGAGCTTCAAATTGGTTGTTCATGGTGGCTGGTGTATTGATGGCAATAGCAATCTTGTAAATACTTGAAGATGATGAGGTTGAAAGAATAAAAATGCCATTTTCGAAAAGAAAAAAATTAATGACATTTTCGTAAATAATGTGAACTTGTGGGGTGAATAGAGAAAAAAAATCCAAAAAAACATAGGTTAGTTTGTGATTGACTTTATGTTTTGAGTCAATTTTACAAATAGTCCTATAAAATATGGAAAAATGGCTGTTTTGATTTATATACCGTAAAATGTTGTAAATAAACAAGAACTATTGTTTTGATATATCTACTCACATAAATTTATTTATCTATAGGTGGTAGATACTTATTTCTCAGTTATTATTTTTATAATAGAGGTTCTCATTGCGCTTCACTCGGTTTATTTCTTTTAAATTTATCATTTTATGTGTATGTGAATTGTTGCATTTTATATTGTATTACATTTAAATTTTTTGCATAACCAATTTTTTATATTATTTTGAAGATATTTTAGGTCATCTTAAATGAAAAAGATATAAATTATATTATATCATAAATAAATTAATAGGAAGACAAACATTTCAGATAATGCACATAAAATTTTAGATTACGTTGTATTCTGGAATAGATCTAAAACTTTTTTTAGTATCTTTGATGTGTAATATTGAATTTAGCAAATAAAATTGAATAAATTGTAAAGTACAATTAAATATTAAATATAATATAAAATTTTATTAATATAAAATTTAATTTCCCTTTTTGTTATATTTTTTTCTCTTTTTATATATCATTTTGAAATTTTATCTTATGACTGGTTGATTTTCTTATACTAATATCATTTTTCGTAAAAACGTTTGACATATTCGTTAGGAAAAAATAGTAATTGGTTGATTAATTGTCATTTCTTATCAAAGGTCCATAAGCTACTTTTGGATATTTTTTGTTTACTAAAACAAAAATGTTGTTTGATATATTATGTTTCTTCATTTGACATATGATATTCTTAGCGTCGTTGTATGTAGTATTCATAGTTTTTTTTTGTTTTTTATCTAAAATATTCCATGAATTTTTTTGTGGTTATATTTTATGCTTGATCCGTGTTAAAGTTTTGACTTTTTATGGTTTTTTACATAATGCTATATTTTATAGATTTATGAGCGAATGATGTTGAAATAATTTAGACAATGGTGCACTATTGATTATTTTTGATTATTTTTGCGTGTTTAGCTTTGGTTACTTTTAGGGTGTGTATATTTTTGATAGATTTATGTGTAATTAATTATTTTCTTCAACTTACTTGTTAAGGATTTGTTACAAATATTATATTTATTTTTCATATGTTTCTTGTTTTTCTAATTCTGTTTTTACCACTAATTTTATTTTTACATAGAGTAAAGTTTTATTTAATTGCTAGATTAAATGATTTTGTGATTTTAAATATAAATTTAATGTATATTAATTTGTGGGAAAATAATTGTTGTTTTTGTTTAATTTAATTTATTTGAGTCTAAATTTTTTTATTTTTTTTATTTTAGTTTAAAATGCTGGCCTATTGAATTCTTAAAATGGAATCAGTAAAATCTTTTTGATGAATAATCCGAAATAATTAATATAAAAAATATATATATTTTGTGAGTAATTAAGGAAGTCTCATTTTTTGGAGTTTGAGTTGCTTTATAGAGTTTGAAATGTTAAACAATTGATATAATTTAATTTTAAGTATATAAAGTCTTAAATCCAGTTAATGTAAATTACTTTGATTGCATTTGATTATAGAATTAACCTTTTATAGGTCTCTCATAATTCATTAATTTTTTTTTTTGTGTTTGTTATATTGATTCAGTACACTGAAGAAATTAAAGTGAACGGGTGAAATTATATGGGGCAACCACAAAGATAAAGTGTTGGATACATTTATTTGTTTTGTTAAAATTATATTTAAATAGTTGATAAAAACTTCATGTAAAGTTTGGACTCCACATGGTCGTCTAACCATAACTACCTATTCTCTGGAATTCATAGGTCGATTTATGTGACTTCATTTCTAGCTTCTTGCTTACTTCCAAAAACAAAATGTATGTATTTAATTATATTTCTATGTTATTTTTTATTTATTTGTATACTAAATATTGTAATATGAAATATATTCTTCATAAACCTAAATCAATAGTAATACTTTGTATACAATTTTTTATCATTTTTATTTATATTCCATAGGAAAGTAATTTTACATAACATACAATAAAAATAGTATAGTATATTTAACACAATAAAGTAGTTTGGGGTATTTTTTATGATTTTTTGAATATGGTGAACTTCTCTTTGTTCTATTGTTGGTTTTTGATTTTACTTCCGCAAATAACCAAAATTTTAATTTTTGGATAACTTTGGTATATTTTTTTCAAAATATTTGGATATTTTCGGTTAAATTCGGTTATTTTTGGGTTATTCGGTTATTTTTGGATATTTTCGGTTTTTAATTTTTTTTTTATTTTTTTTTGAAAATTGAAAACCGAACCAAACCGAAACAAAAACCGAATTAATTTTTAAAACCAAACCGAATAGAAAACCGGACCAAACCGAAAACCAAAAAAAGGTATATGCGGCCAACCTCCTGGAAAGAACAATGTACATGGACCAGGTGAGTAAGGATGCAACTCTGTTCCTAGTCTCGCTACCCTGTGTACGGGATAATATTTAGGATGTGCGATTTGGCTGTCGAATTGTTAGCCAAAGCCTTCCGTCAATGAAAATGAGAAAGAGGCACTCCTTCTCTTGTCGAAGATGAGGCCTGCAGTCTCGTCGGTTGGTTGATTCTCGAAATAACCTCTTGAGAAAAAAAGGTCCATCGGAACGAAGCTGGGCCATCTGTCCTCTATCCCTACATTCCTCGGAGTGAATAGATGGGCGGGGGGGGGGGATAAAAGAGAGGAACAGTTTGGTGTGGTTCGGCCCATTCGGTTCGGACAAAAATCCCAGGCCTACTCCTGCAACTCATCACAATCCATACAATAATCATTACCATCATCATAATAAACCACCAACAATCTGAGATAAGCTATATTCACCACAATGGTGTCGGCAAGAGGAAGACCTTCAAAGACCTGGGGAGGCTCTTGAAGCTGAAGGATCTGACTCGGCTCGCTAGGTAAAGACAATGTCCAAGAAGGCGGACTAGATATCCCCACTGACGCAAAACCGTGCTCTGTTCTATTCTCCCACATTCTCTCTTGTTGAGTTAAAAATCCAAGGCTTATATTTGTAGTGACTGTGAAAATCAAACACACAAGAATAAGCCTCTAAGGGAATTTTAAAATATAGTCAAAAAGTTTTCAGCTTTACCCTTAAGAATTTTTCGACAGTGTAAGAAATAAACTTGGGCTCTGAGAAGCTTGGAGGTTCAAGAACAGCATATGATCCTTCGTTTGCATAGTTTCTTGAACCCTAAAAGTGCAAAAAGACAAATAGTACAGCAGCAGAGCGGGTAGCTTTGGGATTCTCTTTGTTTAAGAGAGTGACCTGTGAGAGATTCGAAGCACTGAAGATTGTACAAAGCTTTCCAGATTATACTTCATGATCTACCGAGTACCCACATAACATGTTTCCCATGTCTTCTCAATCTGATCTTGCATCAGGGCCTTCATGTGATCTTATAATCATCTAAGTTATGGTAAAACAAACACATTAATCACAAATGAAACCATCATTAGAAGTTACCAAAGTTTTACACACTTTACCTTTAAGTTTGATTGTTTAGAAAATCTCAGTGCAATCAGCTCCCCAAAGAAGTCCCTTGTAATTACTCTCGCTAAGACCACCACCCATCCATGGACATGACCATAAAACATGGTTAAGAAGAGTTATATCCCCATCATCATTGTTCTCACCAACTTCTCTCTTCCTATCAATTTTGTCAAGTTCCTCTACAGAACCCCAACAATAAAGACTGATTCGTCTTGCTATTTTCTTCATGGCTTTGAAAGAGACCTCCATGAATTGTGTACACGCTATCTGATATCACCGTTGCCAAAGGTAACGCTTTGTGACAATCTATACACTTGGAGTACAGCACTGGACCCTGCTCAGCATATCTGTCACATGTCTCTTTCAAGAAACCAAGCTCTTCTGCAGAAACACTTATCTCAGAGCTTCCTCTAAGTAAAATACCCTCTCAGGCATCAGAATCTGTTACTTAGAAAAACAACAACTATCAACATGCCAAGAATCTATTTAAAAAAATAAGTAAAGAAACTATATATATAAGTACCTTCCAAGCTAAAAGAATCAAGAACACTTCTAAACTCCAAGAACCACGACCGATATAATTACCATTGAACACAAACCATTGGTTCTAACAGCTTCTCTTTTTTTTTTTCTCAGGACAGGAATGAACAAAAACAAAAGTATTGTTGCCAAAGTTGGCTCTGTTATTGGTTTTGTCATAATCATATTATGTCTTTACTTCTTACTCACAAGGGACAGAAGAAAAGAATAATAAAGTCTTGAAGGTTGGATTCTGGTCAAAAATCAAATGTTTAAAGTCATTTGTCTTTTCTTTTTATAAAGTCATTTGTCTGGGAGAATAAATGAACTTCTATAAGTCAGAGACGCATAATATTAAACATATAAAGAAAACCTTTACATAAATCTCATGGTCTGTTATCGTTACTCCTTAGCTCTGATAAAGACATCAAAAAGCTTGAGCAAACTGTTTAATTTGATATGGAGAAACGTAAGATAAGAAAAGGCAAACCAAGATGTAAATCTTATTGGGCTATACGTTTTAAGAGCTAGATGAACAAAACCTTATCGTTGGTTAGTTTCAGTCAGCAATATCTAACAATACTAAAATAGTGTACCACACTCACATCCCCGAGATTACCAAAGTTTGCCTCCATGTTAAGACAATCTTCCAATAGTGTAGCTCGTTCTTCTTTCAACTCTGGTGCAGAATCATTGTAGTAGCTGTTGGCTCTCTCGAAAATCGCTGAGCACAAGAGAGAAAATAAAGATCAAACAGTTAAAACATGTCACAAGGAATCATCAAAACTCATATAACAACATGTATTTTAAAAGTTACCTCTGGCACGTTTGATGCACTCTTTCTTGTGTTCAGTAACATCTATTTCTATTTGGACGATTTCTTCCTCGTCTTCTTGTTGTTCCGCAGTAGAAGCTCCAAAATTTGCAAAGCTAACCTACACCTTGTAATGCTTTGTGCGGTCCAAGAGTCGCTCATATAAAGCTCTTGTTCTCTCTAATTCTCTTTCCGCTATCGTAAAATCTATGCATGCCTACCAAACCAAAAAAAATATAGAGCTTCAATGATCCAATCGATTAAAAAGTCTGAGGAATATCTTACTTCTTTTAATGTATTGGACTAATCAGCAAGTTCAAATATCGCTCTGGCTCGTTCAGTCTCAGCAAGAGACCTCTCGAGCTCGGCATATTTGCTCCAAGCATAGCAGTTCTCAGGGTACCACTCAAGGTACCGCTCATAAAGCTTTGTACACCTATCTATGTTTCCTAGCTAGAGTTCAATCTCGATGTATTTCTTGAATATCTGTTTGTGGAAGACAGAAAATATCATCAAACGTAAGTAAACCATGTGTGTGGTTAAATGAGAGCAATGAAACATATAATGTTACAAACAAATTTCATCCTAATATCTGCCGATGATTCTCAAGTAAGTTCATTGGATGCTTCAATCACACGATGATTCTCTTTCATAACTCAGCTACGTATCAAAGCTTCACTGATTCCAGTCAGTAGATCCATCCGTGAGTTCAAAATCAGAGATAATGAAAAGAACTGATTATGAAAGAAAGAGAAGCTCTTACTGATAACCTCAGGCTTGCGCGCCATACCGAAGCTTAGATCTTCAACACTACGTTCTTGTTTGAACCGAGTTCGGTGATAACAAGTATATGATCGACGAAAACTCGTCGGTGGGTTATTTCGAAGGTGTGAGCGAGCAAACGGTAGAAAGAAGAATTATATTAATCAAAGAAAGAGTGAGTACAAAGAGAACTACGATGCTCGGAAGCTAACCGGAGTTGTACGGACCGATCTAAGAGCAACAAGATGAGTAAAAAACGTCGTTTAGCTGCCGCCTAGTCAGTCTATTTTCGGATCATCTCTAACTTTGATCTCCTTTCGTCTTTATAGGGTGCTGTACGTACGACCCTAATGGACTGCGTTCCTACTCTCATGGGATTTTAGGCAGGCCTATTCTTCTTACTCGGTACGGACAAGTGACGTATGCTCGGCGTTAAATACATTGTCGTTTTGCACACTCGATTCCTTCCCAAGTAATCGGGCCAAGTAATGGGTCGCAATATTTATTCGATGGGCCTTGGGGAGTGGATGAAATCCGTCTCCTACAATAAGTCCCCAAGTTCACTATAATTGCAACGCATGCTTAGTGAAGTGAATTTGCAGTGGTCGGGAGAATAAATGAGTCGGCTCCAGAAATCCTCGTCCGCTCGCTTCCCTGGTTGGGGAATCGGCTTGTTCTGATCGGGAGCGGTTTATTTCGGCTTACGGGAACTCGGTTTTCCCCAGAAAGTAGGAGAGACGCGGGCTGGTGTTAGCGTAGTTGGCGGCAAATAGGCCCAATAGACCCTTTAGACCTAATGATGGCTACTGCGTCGAAACGCGCGCTCCCTCTCTCTTATAAATACCCCTCCTTCTTCTCATTTATTCAGTTTTCTTGCTTCTCATAGGTATTCCCTTTCTCTAGTTTCTCTCTCTTTATCAACCTATAGTTAGGCTTTGTTGATGTCTCTGGGTAGACGCTTGACGGCAGCAGAGAAAGGTAACTCAGTAACCACTAGTTCAGCGGTTCTGGAGAAGCGAACGCTCGATACCCGACGTGTAATCGAGTCCGAGTTGGCACATCAAGAGGCTCTGCGAGATATCGAGGGATTAGATCTACCGCAACAGCTGCTCATCATGGTTGATTCTGAGAGACTCAGATTGGGCGAAGAGGGTATAGGAATTTCTTCCGTCGGTCAATCTGCAAGCCTGGAGGTCGGGGAGAATCCAAATGGTTCTCGAGTAAGGAATGCGCCGAGAAATTCTCTCCCTTAAACCGACGAGCCAATGGTCCACATTCACTTTTCCCTGGGGGTCTGTTCGAGAAACTGCCAGCTCTTTGTCCCGAGCTTTCTCGTCCGACAGTGGTCGGCGGACAGGATTGGAATAACGTCCTCCTGACCAAATCATCTATCGCAACTGTCAAGACAATTCTGAGGGAACGAGGCGAACATGGAGTTACTTTCATTATCCCGAATGCTAACCAGAGGCCGTGGACTCCTCCGATCGGGTACCAATGCGTTTATGAATCGTACTTTCAAAATGACACCAAGCTACGGTTCCCGATTCCGCGACTGGTTACCGCCTACTTTTTTCGTCGGGACGCAGTGATTTCGCAATTTATTAATGGCTCTTTCCGGATAGCGGTGGGTCTTATGGTGTTGGCTGCAGAGAGAGATTAATAGCTAAGTGTTCGGGTTTTTGAGGAACTCACGACGGCGTCGAACATGAAGAATGACTTATTCTCCGTGAAGATGCGGTCTGGTTTGGGTATCTTGGTCAGCCCTCCGAACAAAACCGACGACTAGCAACGTTGGTACTTCTACGTGAAGTCTGACGACAGTGCGTTTGAAGAGCCTCCGGGCGAGGACTACAGGGTCTTATGGAACCCGAGATTTGGTAGAATACTTTTCCGAATTGGCTTGTGTTTGTCCTGCGTCTAACCCGCTATTCTCGTCTTTGGTTTCTTTTTTTTTTCAGTTCCACACTCGATTACAAAGGACTATGCCGAGGACTTCTTCGAAGTTACTCAAAAAATTGATCGCGCTACTCCTCCTCGCTGGACGAATGTTTTATTTTCGCGGATCGAACGGTTGCAGCCTCGTATAGCCCAAGGTATCTTCTTATTCAATACTTACAGATCTCTTCCGATATATTCGTCATTTCGATACTGACAGCTCTAGTTCTCTCTTTGTTTTTTCCAGCTAATTGGAGGTCCGATTTATGCTCTGAGGTTCGAGGTTGCAGCAGATTGCCTATCTTCCCAAACTGGGTTAGTTCAGCTCGCCGTACGGCGAGCTGATTTGAGGTGATCAGCTTGCCGTACGGTGAGCTGAACCAGACGGTTCAGCTCGCCCTACAGCGAGCTAGTCCAGGACGAACCAGTTCACCATGCGGCGAGCTGAAACGGCTTGTTCAGCTTGTCGCACGTCAAACTGGTTTGGTCGAACCTGCTTGTAGTGTAGCGGATGCAATTTTTGCGGTTTTTTCGCTTAACTTGGGCAATCGTGTAATCGGAGATTCTTTCGTTCATTTTTTCGAGATGAAAATTTCCAAGTTTTGCGTGGATTTCCTTTGTGCGAAAAGTCCTTAGAATTTTATAAAACAACTTCTTGTGTTTTATAAAACGTATTTTATATTTGCCGAAAGTTTTGGTCATTGATTCCGTCGTACCGATTTTGACCCCAACAGTTATCCCCCCAGTTCGTAAGAATAGTAGAGTTATTGCGAGCGGTTTGAACTTGTTTGGAAAGTTTGGCAGAATTAAGCGGAACTTTAATGGCCAAAAGTCCAAAGGTGAATAGTAAAATTTTTCTTATAAGTATGTGGAAAAAATTTTCAAATTCTTTACTCACTTCTTTCCACATAACTTTTCTAAGGTTCAAGAAGTTTTCTCTTTTCCTTTCTCTTTGAATCGTTCTTTCTTTTACTAAACATGTTTTCGAAGAGGAGAAGTCGTTCCGAAACCAGTTCTGATTGTTGTGGTTCTGAAGGAGCAAAATCGCAATCTCATGTTGTAGTTCCGAAGGAAGAATTTTCGCTACCATTGGTCGATTCGGAAGACGTCGAAGTGTATTGGGCGGCTGGAGGCGAAACGAGGCCCACCAAACCCGGAACCTGGGTTCCGCCTCCATTCTATGCTAACCGTATTTCCGGATGCTCGAGTTTGGTCTGCC